ATGTTGTGAAGCTGGAAGATCGGAACAGAATATTCTCCAGTGAAGGACCAGAAGCCGTTTCTCCGCCATTCGGTCTCATTGTGCTGGTTCTGCTTCCCTCAGAGACAAACACATCGGCCCTCACCTGTGAGAACGCACGTGCCTCGTCTAAGGTCCCTTATTATGACTCTGCCTTGTTTCCTCTCCACGTAACGTGCTCTAGGACCTCTGTCAGTCCAGTAACCTCTTACCAACCCCCAGAGTCAGACGGGGGTGGGGAGTTAGTGTGATTTGACGAAGGTTACACACACACACACAAAAGGCAGATTTTAAACTGTGGCACCCACCCTGTAGTAGTCACAATTTTGGGAGCTGGAAAACATGACCTCTGACCTTTGGCAGGAGCTTGGCCCTGAGTAACCCTAATTAAGGTCACTTACTGTACGCCAGGTTAACAGTTCTCTCGAAGATAAGGAACAGGGTTGGCCTACTGTTTTCCTTTAGCAACTCATGGAAAGGTCTAGAAGGAAGTTCAGCAAGTCTAGACCAACCCCCTCCTTCGGCAGTGAGGCTAACAGAACACAGCCCCTCCCGCCTCTCTGCACACCTCCAGTCATGGTCTGAACCCTAAGCCAGGGGCAGGCTCGACCCAGATTGCTTCAGCGGGGTGCTGGCTTCTTTTCTTTATTTTTTTTTTAGAGCGAGTGGAAGGGAGGGAGGGAGAGAGAGAGAAGCATCTATGTGAGAGAGACACATCAGTTGTGCCTCCTGCACAACCCTGACTGGGTCTGGGGATCGAATCTGAACGCTGGTACCTGCCCCAGACCAGAATGGGACCCATGCCCTCAGCCTGCGGGCGAAGCTCTAACCGCTGAGCTGCCCGGCTGGGGCTAAGGGCGTCGCCGTTTGTGAGAAGGGCTGTGGGAAAAAGCAGGCTTTTGTGTTTAGAGACGGAGCCCCTGCCTCTCTCGTGCTGTTCTCATTCCCAGCATCTTCCCATCGGAGACATAAAAATAACTTCAAATGTAGATCACTTTCCACATAATTATAGTAGTGCCAGCTTCTCCTTCAGCTTACTTAACGTTTTATACGAACTAAAAACACTCTGCCCTGGTTCTCCGCAGACACAAACCAGGCGGCCTCCTTCACTTTTATCAAATTTCCTGCTTTTTCGGTAATTCAGGTTAGTTTGGATAATAGCAATCTCCACTCTAAGCTTTTTTTTTTTTAATATTATTTTTCTTTATTGATTTTAGAGAGAAAGGAAGGGAGAGGGAGACAGAGATAGAAACATCGGTGAGAAAGAACATTGATTGGCTGCCTCCTGCATGCCCCTCACTGGGGATTGGGCTCACAACCCGGGCATGTGCCCCGACTGGGAATTGAACCCACAACCTCTTAGTACATGGTGCGATGCTCAGCCACTGAGCCACACCAGTGGGCCACTTTAAGCATCTTTTAAAGAGTCTTTAAAACAGCAGGCATTTCCTTTACTAAAAACAGAAATGGTACCTGTTGTTCAATGAACTAGTGGAGACTTGAGAGACAGAGTCCCCATGACACAGGGCACCCAAGGAGACATGCTACAGAAGGAGATTTGAGAGGCACATCGTAGGAAAACCAGATGCGGGGCCATTAGTTGAAGGTTTGCCTACAGGGCAGCTCTGATTCCTGAGCGGGGAACAGGCAAGGCTCCCCATGCAGGGGGCTCCTCCTGGTACCCTTGCTCTTGCGCAGCCCCGGATGTCCCTGTGGCGAGGACACAGGGGTGATGGGAGTGGGAAAGACTGTGCCACAGAGGCCGACATCGTGCTAGTGCCCCAGGGCGCTCAGATCCTCAGTGCTTAGGGGAACCCTTCCCATGGAATCCACACCAAGCATTTACAGGGCGTTAGGGAGTCTGTCACACACACTGACTACATGTCGGTGGGTGTGAGTATGTGTGTGTGCATAGGTGTGTGTGTGCATATGTGTGTTGACCTATAGATGTGTATGACTTACTTCATAGCAGCACACAGCAGCCTTAGTTAATGTTGCCTGCAGTCTGAAAGAACGATTTCTCCATCTGTATGAATGCAGTAACCTCAAGGATCTGTCAGTAATCCAACCACCGGGTAACAGACCTGTTTCGGGAAAACTTAACTTTTGATCATAAATAGCCTATGTTCATTGATAGCCTACTGTGCATTTGGCTGTAAGTCTTTCATTCAAAGCAGGATTTTTTTATGTTGGAATTATTTAAGCAACTGACAATATAAAAACATGAATATGGGTGGCAGCAAAATACAATGTAAAGACCATGAACGTGGGCCCAGCCGGTGTGGCTCAATGGCTGAGCGTCAACCCATGCACCAAGAGGTCGCTGGTTCGATTCCCGGTCAGGGCACATTCCCAGGTTTTGGGCCCAATTGGCATGCAGGAGGCGGCCAGTTGATGTTCTCTCTTATTGATGTTTCTATGTCTCTCTCCCTCTCTCTTCTTTCTCTAAAATAAATAAATAAAGCCAATACTATCTCAAGTACCTGGGAAACAAGTTTCCTCAGAAATGTAAGGGAGCCCTGGACAGTTTGGCTCAGCGGTTAGAGTGTCGGCCTGCAGTCCAGAGAGACCCGGGTTCGGTTCCTGCTAAGGTCATGTACCTCGGTTGTATTTTGTCTCTGGCCCTGGTTGGGTTATGCGGGTGGCAGCCACTCGATGTGTCCCTTTCACGTCGATGTTTCTCTCTCTCTCTCTTCCTCTCTCTCCCTCCCACTCTGTCTGAATAAAGAATGGAAAAATGTCCTCAGGTGAAAAAAAAAAAAAGAAGAAATGTAAGGGAAAAGAAAGCTGTGTTTGTTTGTTTACTTTTGTGTCTTTTTCCCCCTAATGTAGAAAAATGCCAGGAGGAACAAAACCTTGATCCATTTCAGAGAAACATGAAAGAAGTTCAGATTTTCCAAAATGGAGAACAGACTCAAGCAGGAGCCTCCCGAGACGAACTTCAGGAGGTCATAGCACACTGACGACCTCCTCTCTGGTTTTGACAGACAGCCCTGGAGTAACTGCCGCCCCCCTCGCAGCCGGGCAGCCCCGCCAGCCCGGCGCTCGCATGCACGCTTCAGTGGGCCGACACGTGCGCAATAACCCAGGCAGCACCTGGGAGCTTGAGAGCCAGGTGCCGCCAGGCTCGTGCTGTATTAAAACTGCATTTCTGACCCGGGGCCTACAAGACTCTGTGCTCAAACACCGCGCCGATTAGAGAGAAATCACCCAGTGCCAGCTTACATTTTTCTTCTTCAAATAAGAAGAATTGAGGTCTAACTTTTATAACTCTGCACAGGAAAAATATTATGTTTCTAAGTTATTAACTCACCTCCATTACAGGACATCTTATAAATCGTGTAAAAGTCCTGTGACTGCACAAATGCACTTAGCTTTTATGACTCTGGGGGGTCCAGCTGGAAGTCTTGTGTCAGTATGGAAAAAAAAAAAGTGCTAAACAGCTTCCCAACACTGCGGTGAGGGTTCTAGGCACACTCTCTTATTTAATTGCCATGACAGTCCTGTGATGTAAGGATCTGTTATATCTTATATCACTGGTAGACTCCAAGAGGGTACCCAGGGATCTGTGGCTTCTACTACCCACACCCTTGCTCAGGCAAAGACCAGGCTTATTTTTAATGAACAGAATGTGGCGAAAGTGATGGGAGGCCGCTCCCAGGATGGGGTGGGAGGAGGACCGTGGCTGCATCTCGGGGGGTCTCACCGCCTGGCTCGCTCCCTCTGGGCAGCAGTCTTCAGCACAGCCCAGGGGATAAGCCTGTCGCTGGGTCTGAGGCCTGCCGGCAGCCGGGCACAGCTCGGGGGCAGACCCAGCCCCAGGTGACCCCTGACACCACGGCAGCCTGCACATGACCTGGCTTCAGCCAGCCTCACCCAGCCAAGGTGCCCTGGAAGCTTGGCTCTCAGACACTGAGGCATAAGAGATGTTTACAATCACAAGATGCTGCTGCAGTTGCTACAGATCTGTAGATAACCACCACACTCTCATTTATGTATCAGACAACACTGAGAAGTTTATCCAGGGCCAGAGAACAGTAAGGAGAAGAGGTGCTTGGGGTCGTGCGTCTGATTCCCGACCCAGGCATTTCTACCCTCCCCAGGGGCGTGGGAGGCCTGGCAGGGTACACGGAGGAGGGGATTCGCCGCACACTGCCTGTCCAGGGAGGCTGGCCAAGGGCCTGTTGGCCCTGCGGCATGTCTCAGCCCGAGTCCAGGCCGGGCATGTGGTCTGACCTCTGTAAGTGCATGCCGACTAGGAAAGACAGACATTCCTAAGGTAGCACGTGGAGAAGGGGGCACGTTGTACTGCTTCTGTTGGAGATCTGTTCATATTGCTACACATTGGAACTGATACTGCATTGCTCTGAAGGTGTTCTCCAAGCTTCAGCTATCTGAGGACAATGTAAAAAATCGTATCATAGCCAGATGCCACATGTCCTCGTATTTACCTAGCAATTTAAAGTGTGTATTTAGAAACAGTTTGTAAAACTCACTAAGTTTTACTTGACGCAGGATGAGGTGCCTGTAGGAAGCCCAATGGGCGTGTGGCATTGGGGGACTACAGACCAACTGGGATGGCATTGTGGTGCCATCGCTCCCGCCACCTGAGCTCGGAAGCCTGCAGCCTCCACAGTGCTTCGTTCATCATCTATACAAGGAAAGTAACAGCTTTTCTAAACGAGAAGGTGACGATTCCGAGAGACATGGGCCGTGTCTGTGGACACCGCGGAGTGCTCTGGACAGTCCCCACTGTGCTCAGTGGTATTAGAAAGGGGCTCTTTCCGCTTCCCCAGCGACAGTGGGAGGGACTCGCCCAGCCCGCGGGGCTGCAGGTGAGGTGCGGGCTCTCCAGACCAGTCAGTTTGTGAGCTCTGGCTCATCCCCAGCCCTTGGCTGGTCCCGCACGTTTCTGTCAGAAGCTCAAGACATTTATGGACTTGGCCGCATTGGAAATGACGGGGGTTGCGAGCAGACAGTACCTGTGAGGATCTCGGCCGCGCGCTCGGTCGCCTTCTGGATCAGCAGCCTCAGGGCCCCGCCCTCCAGGCTCAGCCTCAGTGTCCCCGAGCCCTGAGACAGCTCTGTGGACAGAAGCAGGCCATCCTTGTTCCACGTTCGAAACTGGAAGCCCACAGAGAGCCCATCGATTTTGGGGGTGCCGGGCAAGTGCAGGTAACTGCCACTGGAGCTGATAAATGTGATGGGAACGATTTGTGGCTCGGAGCAGGAGAAAGTGACATTGCCCTGGAAAACAGTAAAAACCAAACATAGAAAAGCCATTTTTTATTCTGCAACTCGACAAGCTGACATAAACAACCACCTGGCGCTGACCTTAATTTCGGGATCATTCCACATTCACTGCAAGAGTTTAAAAGAAAAATGTGTCAGCTTTGTTCCTGCACGCCCACAGGAACCGTCTCCATACTGCGCCGAGGGCCACGGTGCTGCCTGCAAGGGCCGCCGCAGACCTGGGGCGGGGGGGGGAATTACTGCGTTTTAGAGAACTGGATATAAAAATAATTGCATCCATTCTTTGAATAAATATGTATTGTAAATCAATCATGTGCCAAGCACAGGGGTGACTTTTAAAGAGATACCCATGGAAAAACTTCGTCACAATGTGGAAAGTGCTAAGGCACGGAGAGGCACCCGCTCCCAAAGGAGTGTTGGAAGAAATAGATGCACAAGCAAAGGCTTCACAGAGGCAGTAATGCTTTCCTGGGGGGAAGTGGGCAAGAAGGCGTGGGGGTGTGCCCAGCCAGTCTTTCCAGCACACTCCCCATGGGTGTGCAAAGTTTGGAGAAATTAGCAAAATAGTATCCCTGGGGAATTACAGAGAACTTGACATTTCTGAGCATTAACGGTGCAGGGAGGGCCAGGGACATGAGGCAGAATTTAAAAGCTTTTGGATGCTCATGTTATTTGTCAAACTTAGAAGCTGCAAAGTGACTGTGGCCAGATTTTCAACTGATTTAGAGTGTTTTCGGAACGGTGGGAGTGGAGGGTGGCTGAAACAACTTGTGGAAATACTGAGTGTGCGTGGACCGGAACCGGAGAGAAGAGGGCGGGATTGTTCTCTGCACAGGTGAGGAGAACCGGTCCCCGTCTGTCTGCACATGACTACAGCATGCTTCTGCAGCAGGGCCACCAGGACGTAGAGGAAGATGCCCCTGTGCCCACCGAGCCATGTGCTGGAGCCAGCACCCCAGAGGGGCGAGGAGAAAGCAGGGGGGCATATAGATTGTGAATAGGTGTGACGTCATGAAAACCACTGGGAATTTGTATGTCAAACCCCATAGCCTCCCATGTGCTGTTTTCTGTCCCTGTCATCCATCCATTTTAGACACCAAACGGATCCCTTGAACAATGCAGCAAACTTATTCAGATGAGTGGAAAACAACATTCTCGCCTCAATAGCTGTAGACACTTCAAGATCCATGTCAACCCTTCGGTCCAAGGCCTGAACACTGCCTTTTCCCGGATGCCCAGCCCGCCCTTAGGGGTTTCCCAGGGGGCGCCTACTTGACTGGCTGCCTGAAGTCAACGCCCCCAGGTGGCCAGGTGGTGGGGCTGGCTGCCGGGAACAGCCCTGAGTTCCAGCGCACACTAAGTGTTCAGCTCCAAACACCTCACAGCCTGGAAAACCTCTCTAGGCCCCATGCATGTTTCTGGTCGTCTTATCTTTCTGAAAACATGCAGCCATGTGTGCAAACCAACTTCGACCAACGGCACCATCTAAGGGTCCGGTCACCCAGCAGCCGCCACCAGCACATTCTTGCATTCATCGTCTGCTCTCATTGCTCCAATGATTCTTCCCCTGGAGGTGAGATCCCAGAAGTCAATGAATGTGCCAAAGGGTAAAGCTCCTGCTATTGTTCAGAAAAAATTGCCCAGAGTGGACACGAGCCCACTGTGCCCGGCAGGAAGTCGGGCACTGCCATACCGACCTGCAGGATGAGACAGAATCCGTTCGGGAAGGACACGGTGCCCTGGGAGAAGGCAGGCCCTAACAAGCTACTGCGTCTCAGCAGCGGCAGTGGGACAGGCCTATGCTTAGGGGTCTTGAAAGACACTGGTTTTAGCCACCAGCTCTGACACCTTCCTCTCCTGTGCGGGCACCACCACCTAAAAGACCAGCCGACTTGCTCAGGATATTTCTTGCTGGTTTTAATTTGCTTTTTTTTTTATTTCTGGGGGCTTTCAAGAATGGAAGTAGCTCACTTTGGCTCCTTAATTGAAGCAGGCTGTCTCCTGGGAGAAGCAAGTCACAAGTGCTGCTGCAGAGGTCGCGGCAGCAGAAACTTTCTTTTCCTGAGGTGAGGTTCCCCTCCTCTGGTGACAGATTTGTCACAGCAAAGTTGTACGAGTTCGGGGCTGTGCAGAGAAAGGGCTGGAACGTGCTGGCAGAGGCGGCAGGCAGCTGCATGGAGCCATAGTGAGGCCTCTTCTCCTGGGGGCCGGGGCGTGTGTCTCTGAGCCCCTCTGTTCCCCTGGCTGGACCAGTAATCCAGGTGACGTGACGCAGACTAGCAGCTGCCCTGGCCAGGTGGCAGGGTGGTTGGAGTGTCGTCCCATACACCAAAAGATTGCAGGTTCGATTCCCAGTCTGGGCACATGCCTAGGTTATGGGCTGGATCCTGGTCTGGGCACGTGTGGGAGGCAGCGGATCATGCCTGTCTGTCTGTCTCTCCCTCCCTCCCTCTGTGTGGGCGTTTCTCTCTTTCTCCCTTCCTCTCTCTTTCTAAAAAATCAATGAAAATGCCCTCAGGTGAGGATGACAAATAATATGTACATTGGAATCCTAGCGGGGAAAGTCAAGTCTGCGATGCCTGCACAGGGAATTCACAGGAGCATGACAATTCCAAAAGCAGCGAGCTACAGTGAGGGGTAAATGTCACTGTGGACCAAGGGGAAGGGGCACAATGGCTTTGGGGTTTAAAAAGGGAAACAATAATTCATAGCAGCTGGGAGTGACCAGCAAACCAGTTCATGCTGGACAATCCGAAACAACGGACCAGGGAAGTCCAGGGGACGGGTTTCTGCAAGGCTCCTCCTGCTGCTACACTTGATGGATTCCCACTCCCTCCCGACACACCTGTGCGGAAACACCGCCTTCCACCGTAACCAAGCACCGACGCTGCTCCCCATCGGGCCCGCCAGTCTGAGGGCTCCCCAGACAGCCAGGCCCTCGAAACACAGGCGTCAGGCTCGTGTCCATGGAGGAAGCAATCCCCTCTCCCTGAGCCGTCCTCCCAAGGAGGTCCCCTCTCGGAGGGCAGAGAGAAACTCCCATTCCAACAACTGCCATGCCGGAGCGGGGTACACGGTCATGTACCAAAGAAGCCTGTCCTAACCTGGAGGGTCCCAAAGGCTCCTTCAAAGATGACAGAGGTCCCGGCCGGTGTGGTCCAGTGGTTGAGCATGGACCCATGCACCAAGAGGTTGCCGGTTCGATTCCCGGTCAGGGCACATGCCCAGGTTGTGGGCCGGATCCCCGGTGGGGGGCACATGGGAGGTGGCCAATCGATGTTCTCTCTCATCCACGTTTCTGTCTTCCTCTCTCCCTCTCCCTTCCTCTCTCTCTAAAATCAAAACAGAAAAAATATAAATTAAAAAAGGATGCCAGAGGGAGGTGTTCCAGAGGAGCAGGATTCACCACCCGAAGGGCGAGGTGTTGGCTGAGCAGGAGGGACACATTGCCGAGCCTGAGCGTGAAGATGTGGGGCATGTTTACCGGGGCAGCAGATCCGCTGACCACAGTCCAGAAGCAGCATCACAGCAAGCAAGGTGGAGTGGGGATGACAGAAAGGACTGTGGTCACACTCTCCTCCTGACCACGTGGAGGGACAGAACCCGACCCTGTGGTGCAGAGACTTCAGGGAGGGGAAGAAGGAGCCGATGAGCAGGCCAGGACCTGCACCACATGGCCCTGCAGGGGCAGCGCGGAGGGCAGGGAGCGCCCTCTGTAACCCGGGGCCGGACCAGCGGCAGGCAGTGCTGTCGGGCACAGAAGAGGCTTTCCAGAGGCTCAGTGTAGGGGGCAAAGTGGGGGAGGGAGAAAAGAAACATATTCTAGGTGCCCTGCTAGGTGCTGTGCAGGGCTCAGGGGCGGGGAGGCTGGCGTGTTCCCCACTCTCTGCTGCTTCCACAGGGGACACAAAAGGGAACCACAGAGATGGCCCTCGCTGCCAATAGATGGTCGCCTGCCTTGGCTGGTGTCCACCCCCACTGGCGTGTGAAGACACATTGACAGCAAACCACAGTCCTTCAGCTCCCTCATCCCATCCCTTTGTGGAGTTACCACGGTAACTTGTCCTCTAACCACACTCCTGCCTCACTCACTCCAGCAGGAGTGACATTTGGAGGCCTCTGCACACACCCGCACACGCTCTCCCTCCAAGGCCAAGTGCTCCTCCTTCCTGCCCACGTCAGAGGCTTTTCCTGATGCCTCTGTCCCCAAGGTGGCTGCCTGTCCACTGGCTGTCGGTGGCTTTGCTACAGCACCATTGATTCAGATATCCACCCAGATGTTCTCTGCATCACATATATCACATTTCTCATGCTGCCTGTAACAATGTTCTACTCTTTGATATTAGTTTAGATCTTAAATATACTACATTTGTAGCCGAGAATAGAGTCTCTTGCTTTGGATTCTGAGAAGGAGGTGAAATGATCAGTTTAGGCAGAACTGAATTCTCAACACATATTTTCTAGCTAATCCATATTCTTTCTGATCCTTAATTTTGCTGCTCTAGTTGGGAGAATCATGATAGAGGGTTGATTTAGGATCAGATGAGAACTTGTACCTGACCAGTTATTGTTCTGTTTTCCCAGGTCTGTCACTTTTTTTGGTTGACCTGAGAGGAGTCACTTCTAGAGACGTAGTTTCCTCACTGAAGGTGAGGCTGAGGAACTGGATAGTTCTGTGGTTCCCACCAGGCCCTTCCTTCTTCAGGACCAGAAACTGACCACTCCTGTCCTTATCATCCATGTTCTCTTCGGACGGGGACTAGGCATCTCTGAATCATTTCTGTTGTCATCATGAGAAATGCAACCAAGAATTTACATTTCAAAAGACCTTATTTCATGATATTTCAGGGCACAAAGAAGGGAGCTTTGGCTTTTTCTCTACCATTTTCTTTCTTTAATTTTTTTTTTTCTTCATTGATTTTTAGAGGGAGAGGGAGAGAGATAGAAACATCGATGAGACAGAACATTAATTGGCCACCTCCTGCATGCCCCAC